CCTGATCAGAAAGGAATCAGCAATCTGCCATGCGTCGTGAGCTTATGTGATCATCGGTGTTGTGGAAGAGGAGAGGGTGTACCTGCAAGGTACTCCGATGCTTAAGTGATTAATAGAGTTAGAAAGCACAAGTACAGAGAATAGGTGTAGAGAATGGAATACCTGACCTTCTAGTGAAAGAGGGCATTTATAATGTGCCCCGGTGTAGGGTCAACGGTTATATTGCATTGTGCTAAATTGTCAAACACAAGTAACTGTCAAGGCTTACGTGGCGTATGAAATACCAGGATGTTGTCTTCGCCCTGGATCAACTGCCTCGTGATCTTCGGAAGGTGGGCTGACCATCTCTTTCGGAAGTGGGTAGTTGCCTGATGACGTGTCCCGCGCGGGGGACACGTGGAAAACATGGGGGAGACGTGTGAGTTCTCCCCGTACTAGGTAGGGCTCTGCCCGACTGAGGGGGCCTTGTTGAGATGCGTGCCCGACTTGGAAGGATTGGGCCTTGTTAGGCCTCCCCAACATAGTGTTGGGTTGGGCCTGTCCGATAGAAGGGCAGGTGTCGGTCCAGTCCATAACAGATACTGTTGTAAAAAATTTGTTTGATAAAATAATTAAATGTATTTTAATTATAATAAATATTATATTAATAATAGTTATACCTTATTGGTATGTTATTATTAATATAATTTTTGTTCAATATGTAATTGTAATTTATGATTATGTAAATTATGATTCAAGTACCCAATCGGTTTTAGAATTTTTTGTGACATAATATTTGTATATTATTGTTAAATTTTTTATTTATTATTACTAATACTATTATTTGAGATTATAATAAATAAGAAATTACTTTTTTTAAAGACATGTAATACTTTATGAAATTCATTAATATTTTTTATTTATTAAAATGGATTTCAATTCTTTAAGTATTATGTAAGTGATGGACATATCCAATCGATTTGACGTTACTTGACGTGATTATTATGTGATAGAGAAAATATTTAAGTATTTGTTTAAATATTTTTAAAACTCTTGTATTAATAATTCAACTATTATTTTCTATCAAGTGTGTGAATTTAACATGTCAATTGTATAGAAATGAGAATTAAATATTATTTATTTAATATAATATTATATTATAGAGGTTTATTTTGAGAATATTATAGTCTTATCATTGTGGTATATCCTCATTATTAATTAAATTAAAATCTCATACTTTTCCGCTGTGTATAATATAATATGTTTCTTAAATGTCTGTGTTTATATTGAGTTACTAAGTGAGTTATTAAGATATTGTATATAATTCTATATTTAAAATTTTAGGGATTTGATTTCACTCAAATGATGGTAAATCTTTTATATGACATTATATTCTTTCATATGAAATTACCTAAATAATGATATATTCTATTTACGTGCAAAATATGTGTCTGAAATGATGTTATATTATAGAACTCCTTCTCTGTATAGTTTTGTATTAAATAGTATCACATTGTTCAATCAAAGCATTTATTATTAGTGGACTCTGATAAATTCTTATTCTATTAGATAAGTGGGAATGCATGTATACACAATCATGTCATATACTCTTGCGTGCATTGTAAATATGATATACTCTAAAAAGACTTCAAAATATAAAATAACTCTAATAAGTCTTATTCTATTATACTGAGATATATATTATTCTTTTAATCTCAGGAAACATCATAATTTGATATTTAGGTCGATATTGAAAAAACACAATAATTTTTTAGCATGCATTTTGTTATTCTATCTTCAATAGTCCACATTTGTCATGTCATAATATGAAAGTACACGTAAATATAAATAATCATATCAAGTATGATATTGTGTTACGAAGGTACTTATGATTAAATATAATTACTCTCGTAATAAGGTATCCCTATATGTAATTACTATTTTTAGACCTATGTGGATATTCTATGACCTTTAGTTTGAAAACTCATTAGTAAAATCATTGACCACAGACTTATAAACATGAGTAAGTCTTATGATATTTTGAGTTAGTGGGTGTTTATCAGTAGCATCTTCATATGCTTGTACCATTCTTTATAACATATTATTCTTAACTTAAATATGTTACTCTAAATTTATCATTCTTTATATAACGTTGTGAGCTTTAACATGTATGATTTGTCTTCCCTATCAGATACAATTTCTACATCGTTGAAATTTACTTCTTTTTTTATTGACTAGTGTTTTGACCATTACTGATATTCTAATATTAAAATCAATATTTTTTAATAATTAATTATTGTCATCCAAGTGGGAGATTATTAGATTAATTATTTAATTAATCAAATATCGATTGACATAATTAATTATTAATTAATTATATTATGGTCTATTGTTATTAAACACTAAATAGATAAATTGTTTGATTGAGTTTTGTGTCTGAATGAACCGTGATGGGTTAGACCATTCAGTTAAACCCAATGAGATGTCTCTGCCCTTAGCCGTTTAACTATTTAAGTGTCTCCCTATTAGACAATTAATATACTCTGAAAATTCTAAACGACAATGAGGGTAGTAATACTCTCATTCTCACTCTTCTCAACCGGTCGTCTCTCCAATTCGACAAGGTACATCGTTCATATTATTATTGATTATTCTTGGTATTATAACATGTTATAATTTGTATCTATCAATAGAAAATTAAATCCTTCAAGAGTATGATTTTATCTACCAATTTTTCATGTAATGGTGTTTTGGGTCGTTTGTAATGTCCATATAAAAAAGTTCAAGAGTGACCTCGAGTTGAAAATCGCAAATAACAAATAGACCTTCGTTCTAATCAAAAGCAGATAATTTTATCCTCCAATGCGTCAATCACCATCTGATTTAATTTGATGGTTGTTCGCATAACATGGCGGAGGATTTCAATTGTTCTTGGTATATAAGGGTAAAATATGTCCTTTTAGGTATTTAAATTCATTCTAACTAACACATTGATTTCTCTCATTGATTTGGGAATTTTAGTCCTAACTTTGTAGGTTCATCCTCCTCCATCGCACCAGAAGTACTGCTTCACCCCCAAGAAGACACAATTTCACCACCACATCTTTCATTTCTAGTTCCCAACCGAACACTAGAGGCATTTGTGGAAATCGACTTTTAATTCCCGCTAATTTCCAGAAAAAACCATTGTTTTTCCACCAAAGATCCAGACCATTGATCTTCTTTCTTGAAGTTTCAATTTCTTCCTCGTATAGATCTGTCATTGGATTCATCAAGCCTGGGGACATCCAAAGTCACTCGATTTGTCGATCAACGACAAGTTGTTAATGCAGCCGGTGAAGTTGCAAAAGTTTCACCTTTTCCTCCTCCTCCTCCTCCTCTAGTGGCTGGAAGATGGTTTAGTTTTAGTGGCATTTCCATCTAACCATAAGCAACAAGCTTCTTCTCTTCCAAGCTTTCTCGTTCTTCAAATCCACACAACAACCTCACTAGGGCTAACCATCGCACCGAACTTTTCCACTACCTATTATAGTTTGTTAGAGTTTTAAATATTACCCATGAGTCTCTTGGAATCAATGGAAAAAGTGAATTATGATTTCATTGCATTGTTAGTTACACTAGGTTTGGTCTATTTATATATGTGATATTTGACCTGCTATAGCATGTAAAACCTAGGGCTGAATGACACTTGTCATTCAGTCAACTATAGTTAATTTTAACTGCTCTAACTGTAACCGATAGTTAGTTACATGCTATGATAGAGTGCATTAGTCCTATAGTGAGCTCATGTGAGCTTATTTACAAAAGCTGCACTCTTGGTGATTTGAGCATAACTAGACATTGTTAGCTTGCTTCTAAGTTCTTCAAATCTGGAGGGAGGTAGTCAGGTAGAGTCTTGGTGAGGATATCTTCTCATGTCCAACCGAAGGTTGATATACAACATTATGTGTTTGAGAATAAGTTATGACACTTGCATAATATTCTATGTAGTATTCTTATGGTTGGTTAATATGATATAACTAATACTCCTAATATGTATACATATGTGAAGACTTAATAACTCTTTATGTATGATATGTGAGATTTGATAATCAGTTTATCCATATAATATTCTCAATGATTTAATAATCTCATTTTACAATGAAGCTTGACTATAAGTACTTTAAAAATAATGTCATTGTGTTTAATGAGATTTTATAATTAAATCACACTTAATACTTTATCAAATGTATTAGCTTTTCTTGAGACTTTATTATTTTTTAAAAACAAACATAATAAAGAAATGTCTTATAGAAAACTTTATACAAATTTCAAATTCTAATAAATTTATTTGTCTTTTAAGTCTTACACCAACTTAGTCCCTTCATGTTACATCTTATTGGTAAGTAAGCCATTATTCGGCACTCCGATGTCCACTTTCAATGCATTTTGTCGATCTAGTGAGCCTTTCAATGTTAATGGCATACTAGTCATTAAGGACTTCATCAAAAGATCTAGTGTGGTTGTAGGCTTTCAAATCCCTCTCTTCTAACTCCTTGAGGACTATGATGGCGTTTAGGTGAGGCGGATAGAACAATTCATCAAACATCTCGTGCTCTTAGTGCTCATGTAAGAATGCAGTTAACTTCCAATTTTCTATTATTAAAGAAAAAAGGACCTCAATGATGAGAAAGTTTCATTTTTTTTCTTCAAAAAACATATTCTAAATAGATTACATCCACATACACATAAGAACAACAATCTCACTGATTCGGTGATTGAGAATGATGTATGTCTATTTTTACTATTTAAATTATTTGCAAAACTCCAATTTTTTGTTTTTTTTTCTTTATTGTATTTTACTGTTTTTTATGTATTGCTATATACATCCTAAAATTAAATAACCATAACTTACTGTAACAATAATCACAATTCAGACCAACAAACTAATTATAATCTAAGAAAACACAATCCAGCTAATTTTAATTTAATCTGAAATTTATTGATCACTACACATAACATAAGAACATGACCAAATTCAACTATATAACTGGAGTAATCAGAGGCTTATTTGAAAAGAAAGCTTTCAAATTTTGTTCCACAACTTGACTGATACCATTGAAATACTCTGAAGTTAAAACAGCTGCATGCGGTGAAAGAACAACATTGTCCAAAGAAAAGAACTCTTTAGGAACATTAGGTTCATTCTCAAACACATCCAAACCAGCACCTCCAATCTCACCTTCAATCAAACACCTCACCAATTCATTTTCATCAATGAGAGCACCTCTTCCAACATTCACTATAATTCCCTCTTTTCCCAATGCCAACATGACATCTTTGTTCACAATGTGTCTTGTTTGGTTGTTTAGTTCACAACAGAGAATAAGTACATTGGTGTTAGTTGCAAGCTCTAAGACACTTGAATAGAAAGGGTATGAAATTGATGGTTTTTTGTTCCTAGAGTTGTATGATATCATGCAACTGAATCCTTCAAGCCTCTTTGCTACTTCTGAGCCAATTCTTCCCATACCAACAATTCCAATCTTTTTTCCCGTCAACTGAAACACCAGTGAAATCACATGTTTATTATCAAAACTGTTTAAATACTAGAAACTAGCATGATTGGAAGTTAAATTGATATATATTAAAGAAAAATTGCAGACTTTAGAACCAAGTGGAAAATCCCAAGATGCATGCTGAAGCTGTCGTCTCAAGAACCTATCAGCGGCAGAAATTTTCCTACTGACGTCTATCAACAACCCGACAGCCATATCAGCAACATCCTCTGAGAAAGTATTTCCGGCATTGGTGACCTGGATTCTGCGACGCTTACACTCAGAGAGATCGATGTGATTAGTTCCGGTGGTTGAGGCGCAAACAAGGCGGAGGGAGGGGAGGAGGTCGAGAACATCTGCATTGACGGGGAAGAGAGTGGTACAGAGAATGGCGTGGATGGAGGAAGCATGGTGAGGATTGGTGGCTATGAATTGGTGGAGAGGGGGAAGGGAGGAAGGGTTTAGGATGTGGAAGTTGTGAGAAGGTTTTGGTTGGAGGATTATGGAGAATTTGGGAGGACCGTGAATGAATATTTCTGGGAGATTGTTTTGGGATTGTTGAATGCTGCTGGTGGTGCTGGTGTTGATGTTTTTGATTTGCGGCCATTGGTATTGTTACTGTTTAGTGAGCATGGGTTGATGTGTGGCTGAGAGTTTTATTTGAAATCAAGGACGACGAAGACAATGCATAGTTGCGTCTGCTTTGGAAACAAGGACAAAGGAACTAACTGCCACTCTAATTACTGTTATGAAATTTTTGACATTTATCTGGAATGGTTAAAACTCAACATAACAGTTATAAAGTAATTTTGTTGTGATTTATATGGGGAATGTACCTCAAATAATTTTGTTTTCTGACGTGGCGTCATGAAGACAAGCACGTGATCTTCGCTCTAGTGTAACTGTTCCGTGTTATTCGAGAGGTGAAGGACCGAATAATTAGGGCACAGGTAGTTACCTGATGACGTGTCTCTGCGTAGGGGATACGTTGAGAACGTGGGGGAGGTCAGAGGAGCTTCCCGAGCCGGATGGGTTATGCCTGACAGTGGGTCAGAAGAGGGGCGCGTCGGGCAGATATGAGGATCCTGCTCGACTGCCGTTGGTCCGACGGGAGAAGATGTTTTGTCCGACAAGTCTCTGCCCAACGATGAGGTCTTATTGGGTCTTCCAACCTGATGGGGTTTGAGTCTGCTCGACTATGGGCCAAGCGTCGGCCCAGTCCAGAACAGTAGCCCCTCAAGTCGTTGCTCGCGGTCAAACGAGCTATGACTTGCGGTGCAGGAGCGTCGAGCATGTCGCTTTGTCGGGCAGCCCGCGACTGTAATGGCCTGGTGAGCCTATGGTGTACGGGGAAGCCCGCGGACGAGGAGGGGGACCTGAAGAGACGTAGGGAAGGTTGAGGGTCACCACGTGTCACCCTAAGGAGGCTACGGGCTAGGCACTTGACTGCCTAGCGACGCTTCGTTTCTCGTGCTAGGGCGTATATATACGTGGGCCCAGCCCGTCTTTTCGTTCTCTCGTTCTTCTTGCTGTTGTTCTACCTTCTGACTTCCCTGCTTGACGTCTATACTTTTTCTGCTCGACGCAACTGCTTTTCCCCGCCGTATCACGTAAGTCTTCGCCTCCCTACTGGTATTTTTAGTAAGCTTCCGGCGACTCTGACGGGAACGCCTGGGAGACCATGGGCTTTTTCGGCGAATACGCCAGAGAGTCCTTCAAAACTAGGGTTCTAACCGACCGTCCCTGGCCCTTGCGATGAGTATCCCGGGGAGAATCAATGATTGTTAAATGTCTCGAGGGTTGTTGATGAATACCCCGGACATGATTGATGAGCGCGTCGAGGATAAAAGAATGAACTCCCCGGGCACATCGGAGGGTCGGGTTATCCCAGAGTGGTCTTCTGGGCGCCCCGGGCGTATCGTAGTTCTACTCGACTTCGGGCACCACTAATCGTACCTTCTTCTGCGTCTTCCACTTGCAGCGGCAGACTGTGTCTGGTCGACATAATTGGGTTTCCCTGAAGCATCCGACCAGTCTCTTCCGGGCATACACAGACTCTATCAGAGAGTTCAAGGATAGGTGGTTCGTGGTGATGCCGGAGACGGACGAGACCGTTAATACGATGTTCCGAAGAGAGGTTACCGTCGTGGAAGGCAAGTCCGAGGTGGACTTCCACTCTAATTTCCCATTAGAGTGGATGGAGATACACTTTCGATCTAGTACAGAGAGCTTTATCTACCGACCTAACCGACCAGGCGTCTTGCCCCTCGCAAGTGTGTGACCCCGGATGGGCAGTACATCCGCGACGCCGACGGGGAGATCCGGACCGAGACTAGGTGCATCAATACGAGGGCCCTCCTTGGGGAGGGCCGCTGCTGTTAGGAAGGAGGTCGGTGCTTGACCGACGGGGTTGACTTTGTCTCCGCAAGGTAGCGGCTCTCCGGTTGCGCCGCCGACCTCCAAGTGGCGACGAGAGATTGAAGCGTCCCTGATCCACTTGACGGACGGCTCCCTGGACCGGTGTTTTATTCTTCCTCCTTGCTGTCTCAGGCCCAATTTATTTATAGGGGATAATGTCCCTGCTGTGGCTCCCGAAGAGGCGAAGAGTATCCTAGCTGCCAGCAAGGAGGCTCGGAGGAAGATGTTGTCCGACGACCTGGCTTTGGTGGTGAGGGCGTTTGAGACGGACCTTGTACTCAACGAGGAGGGTTGTTCCTCGGCGGACTTAGCTACCTTGTGGGGTGAGATGGCGGTATCCGAGGAGTTTCGGTCCAAACTGGTTGCCGACCAGAGGGAGTATCAAAGGCAGGATTAAAAGGAACCCTTTTCTACCCCATTGATTAAAAGACACATTTTTCACATAAATCAGAGTAAAATATTAAATTTTATAAAAAGTCACCTCAAAGGGGGTACATTTCTCAATGTCTCAAAATAAGTCAAAGCTCCGTAACACACGGGTTTTCCCAAAATAAATCAAACTATACAAAGCAGCGGAATTCAAAGGCATAAAATCAAGGTTTCCTCCAAAAAGGGAAAGTAAGCAAAATAACTCACTGGTATAAAGTTTAACTCAAAGAACCCAACCCGATGTTACATATCAGAGAAAGACCCTCTAAATTAACTAAAATAGCTAACAACTCAAAAACTTCAAAAATACTCCTCGACGACATCCACGGCTAAACTTGGTCATCTGCACGTTACCCACGTGGAGGCAACATTCAAACAGGCAGGGTGAGTAAAACAATTCATAATCATCGATGTATAACAATCAACATGTAAAACAGCATCATAATCATATTCAACACATTCATATCCTTCAATATGCCACAAAGGTCACAACATCATAATTCATACAAAAAGAATCATAAATGCAATGCGATAAGACTCAATGCATGTGGTACCAATCATCATAGCGCGATGGACACTGGGCCATCAACCCTCTATAGATCCCCATCAATAGGATCGATTCTACTAGAGAACCGGAGCACATCAAAGTACTTCACATCCGTACAGTGGGATTGAAGTCAAAGTAATCGAGGTCCTAAGCTGAAGTCCGGATGCACATGAATGCATGATGCACACGTCACAAATCATCCTCATAATAACATCATAGGTGCATCATAATTCATCATATTCATCATCATCAAATGTCATAGCTCATCATCATAATCATCATCATACATCATGTCATCATAGCTTATCATAATACTCAATCTCACACATCATGTCATCATATAATTCATCATAATAATCATCATACGTCATGTCATCATATAATTCATCATAATAATCATCATACGTCACGTCATCATATAATTCCTCATAATAATAATCATATGTCAGGTCATCAAATAATTCATGTACAAATCACATAGGGCTCATAGTCTTACTCATATTAACCCATCATATTATCACATATTAATTCATAATATTATTCCATATTATCTCATATTAATTCATCAAATTATACTCGCGGTAATTCTCATACTATCACCCATTAATCACATAAACCTCACAGTCATACTCATGTTAACTCATTACAGGAATCATAGAATCAAACATCACGACATCGCTGTGTACGATCAACATTCGCGAAACTCTGCTACATTCGCTGGCATGTTCGCTAGGCGAGTCTGGGACGAGTTTCTTCGCTAGGAGAAGGAATCTTCACTAGGCGAGTCTGGAAACACATGGTTTGCTAGGCGAAGCTTTCTTCACTAGGAGAACTGTGCGATGACAGCAAATTATGCTACGCACAAGAACACGATTCCACCCAAAAAGCTCTACGATTCACTTACCCAATGCCCCCAAAACATCCATAAATCATCCCTAAGGTCATACGGCGATAAAGGCACGAAACCTACGGTTTATTAGGCCAATCCTGTAACATATTCATGTCCTAAATCACAATTTCCCTACAATTGCCCAAAGGCATTAGAGTTACTCACATTTGAATATTCCTATTCCTTTAGGGTCAGACATATAATAATTAAGGTTTTGGCCACAGAGGCCTAAGATTTCCGAATTCTCATATTACACATCAAACAGTCAGGAATACTAACCACTAACCACAACCCTCAATGTCTCATTATCAATTTCCCTATTTTCCCACATCCAACCCAAAATCCCCTAAATCAACCATAAACACAATCGAAAGGCATACATGGAAAATCATGAAAAGCTATACTCCCCATACCTTAGCCGATTCAAAGCTTTCACGATTATCTCCGGGAATCTTCTGCCTCCAATCTTTCCTCAGAGCTCTGTGTTGCACCCCAAAATTTTACCAACAATTATTCATCCATCAAGTGTTTGAAGGTTGATACCTTCATCAGAAAGTTCAGGAGATCCTCAGAAGAATTGGTTGAAACCAGAGTTGTGTGCCTCATAGCTTGAGAGTTGGGGGAGCTCCTCAGATGATTCTGAGACTATGGGAGTGAACTTGATGCTTTGAGAAAGCCTATGAGATGTCTTGAAAGCCATCATGAAGCCCAGAGAGGTCATTGTGCAAGAATTCAGAAGATTCAACCATGAATGGTAGAATTAGGGATTGACTGGGTCAATCCAAGGCCAGCTGAAGGTTTGGAGAAGGTTGGGACCTAATCCAAGGGCCATGAGATCATGGAATGATGTATGGAGATGTTATAAAGATGATTCCTAGACCAACTCATCATGATTGAGGAGTTTGAGAAGTTTTAAGTTAGGGTTTCTAAGGA